TTTTTCCGAAAAGGTAGAAGTCGCACGGTGCCATATCAGGTGAATACGGCGAGTAGTTAATGGTTAAAATGTGATTTTTGGTCAAATATTCGGTCACAAGCGTCGATCGATGATACGGCGCATTATCGCGCAACAAACGCCAACTTTCATCTTCGCGATATTCGGGCCGAACACGTCGAATACGGCGCACCAAACGCTTCAAAACTCCAAGGTAGAATACCGCATTTTCGTTTTGGCCGGGTGGAACAAATTCTTGGTGGACAATACCTTTGAAATCATAAAAACAAATCAGCATTGTCTTTACTCTAGACTTCTCCATGCGCGATTTTTTGGGTTTCGAGTCGTCCGGTGCCTTCCATTCGGGATCATATTAGAAACACCACGTTTCGTCACCAGTCACAATATTGTAAAGGAAGTTTTTGTCCTTTTTGACCTCTTTAATGGTATCCTTCGAATGTTGGATTCTGAGCAATTTTTGGTCGTCAGTCAATTTGTGCGGAACAAACCGTGCACACACCTTTCGTAAGCCCAAATGTTCGGTCAAAATGCGATAAATCGATTTTTTGGAGATGTTCAATTCCATTTCCATCAATTTCAATGATGATTTCGGCTTATTTTTGGTGAATTCACGCACAGTTTCGATGGAATTTTCGGTAATCACGAATTTTGATTGGCCCACATGTTGATCGTCATTTATGTTCTCACGACCACTTTGAAAACGTTGAAACCATTCGTGCACTCTGCTACGGGATAGGCAATCATCGCCATAAACTTATTCCATCAATTGAAACCTTTCGGTAAAAGTTTTACCAATTTTAAAACAAAATTTAATGTTGGCTCTTTGTTCGAAGCTTATTTTCGCACCAATCGATGAAATGTCAATAAATTCTCACTGGACAATCGATAAAAATAGCAGACTTGACTTTATTTACATATGTACATATAGTATGTATGTGGGTATGAAGGTACATATGTGAAATCAACGCACAGCCCAAATGGTAAGTGTTAAGAATTTGTCAAAGTGTGGGTGGGCACCAAGAAGTGGTTTTAGAAAATTAGAAATCCGGTGTACTTTAAGCTTGGTTTATGTATTTACTCTGAGAAAGAATACAAGATAAACTGCGTGGTATTTTTGTAACTTTTCATTAAACATTAGGAGAAATAATTATGATATATGTATATACATAGTACATATGTGTGTATGCTCACTTAAATGTTGTGCAGTTGCATAATTAGACCAAATAACTTTGCCAAATTGTACAGCTTTTAATTCTAGAAATTACTTGCCTTGATTTACATACATACATACATATGTATGTATATAACCATATATAGTATTTATTGTACTTTACGTCCTAGCTCTCGAATCGTAAAAAGTAATTTGCTGTTTGGAAAATGAATTCTTTAGAAACTTTAGAGAGTGTCGGGAGACAAAATATCATATAGTAAATAAACGTATAATTGCAAGCACAAATACTGAGCCAGCATAGACGGACAAGACCTGCTAGTAGATTATAAAAACCAAATTTTTAATCGGTGGAAAAATGAACATTTTTCAAACAAACTTTGGAGCTCGTTTCCCCCCTTTGGAGCTCGAATTATCCAAAAGCCTTTCTTAGTGGCAGCTACACTACGATGGGATACTTAAGCCCAAATTTCAGCTTCCTAGCTTTTACCGTTTGGGCTGTGCGTTGATCACCAATCAGTCAGTTAGTCAGGACAAACTGTTTTATACTTGTATATATAGAGATGTTGCCATTGCACTATGGTTTTTTTGCCCGATTTTTTGGCAGAAACTCGAAATATTAAGATATGTACCCAAAATTTAGTTTGTACGCATATTTTAATACCTCGAGACGACATAAAGTTCGATTACAACTTGACATGTTTTTTTTAATATAATTGGAGAAGGATTTTACTTTTACCGATATTAACATAGTATTGTACTAAGATGCTTACGTTAATTTTCTGCAATATATTCTGCTTAAATGCGTCTTCTGAGTCTTTGTTGCTGCTAAAAATTTCAACAATTTCTGCATGCCCAAACAGTAGTTTTGCTGCAACAAACGCAATTTTACAGAAAACGTGAAAATTGGGACGAAGTTCTTTAGTAATTCCATAATAAACATATATTAGTTAGTATTTCCACATTGATAACTTTTTGCAACTCTTTACCATTCAAAAGTACTATTCCACAAAACACAGCGCAACTTATTAAGGTTAATTTTAAAAAAAGCACATGAACAACACATGGCACAATTACACGAACACACTATATCGCTTAAAAACAGTTTTGGATTATAATTTTACATACCTTGATTAACGTTTTCCATTATATAACTTAACTTTTGTTGATTCTTTTCTTAATTCTGCAAGCTCTGAAAGTTTACTAAAAATTGCTGCCAAAATCACAAATACATGTGTTTCACACAATTAGGTAACTTTCAATGCGCGCCAAGAAAATGGTGTTGCCATATCAGCAGGAATTAATTTAATTTTCGCTTAATTAAACAATTTATAATAAAATAAAAATAAAATTTTTTATATTTGGACAGAATGTTTTTTTTGACTTTCTGCCAAAAAAACGGCCAAAAAAACCATAGTGCATTGGAAAGGTACTTCTCAATACCCCAAAAGCCTTATTACCTTTATCAACTGATGAGGTTTTAGTCTTGGAGGAATTGAAGCAACTTATTTTTTCCTTCGAGCTCTCAGTATTGCACATTTCATCAAGCTCTTCAGTAACAGTCTCTATGAATATACCGCTGGTTTGCGGACTATTACATAATTTGGAAAACCTTAAAGGCAACATGAAGACTGTTGAAGGCCATGAAGCATGTAAATGATTAATGGAAGGCGTTAAGCAAAGATTATTGCCATATGAGAAGCGCACAGTCACACGAGTGTCAACACTGCTAGATCCTCGTTTTGAAAGGGAGGTTTTCTTGCATTCTCTTAATAAAAATTTCTGGAAAATGACCTCTCATCTCTCAACATCGCCTTGATCTACGCCTCCTTCAGAAGGAAGCGTCCGTATAAGCACCTGGATCTTAGAGACTGTAAGAGCTAGAGACACCAAATTGCGCAAAGATGTGTGTACGCTATATGAGTTTGTTTTATTTTTTCGGTTTTCCCGATTTTCCATTCGTATAATCGCCTATATCTCGGAGACTATAAGACCTAGGGACACCAAATTTTAGTACCAGATGCCTTATGTGAATACGCAGAAAATGTATATTTTGGAATTTCCCTCTCTCCCCTCTCTCCCCCGCAATTGCGATTTTTTCTAACTCCAGTAATTCTTGGAATTTCGAACTAAAATTTTGGAAATACCCCCAGTTGGTTATTATGTGTCCGTATTCCAAGTTTCACTATGATAGACCGATTTAACGAGAAGTTATAGCCATAAATATATTTGCTACTGCAGCGCTGCCCACGGCTGTTGTTGATGTTGCTGTTTAGTTGACTGCGAAAATGCTTACACAGGCACAAATAGACGCACATAAACATACATACACACACATAGACGCAATTGCTTTGTATATGTGCAATTATATACCCTTTACTTGAGTTCGAATACCGAGAAAGGTAAAATCGATCAAATTTTTTTAAATTTTCTTATTTTTTATTTTCTATAATTATTGTAAACATATGTACAGAGTATTTCAAAGTCGGGACACCCGACTTTAGCTTTTTTACTTGTTTTTTTTTTTATTTTCTTAATTTTTTTTATTTTCTATAATTATTGTAAACATATGTACAGAGTATTTCAAAGTCGGGACACCCGACTTTAGCTTTTTTACTTGTTTTTTAAATGCATCGTGCATTATTTAATAAAAATTTTTATACCCTGTACCCAATTGGTACAAGGGTATATTAGTTGTGTGCGAGTGCACATGGAACACACTGAAGGAGGCTTGGTAGACCCCACAAAGTATATATATTCTTGATCAGCATGACGAGACGAGTCGATCTAGCCATGTCCGTCTGTCTGTCTGTGTGTCCGTCTGTCCGTATGAACACCTGGATCTCAGAGACTATAAGAAGTAGACACCAAACTTTGCACAAAGATGCGTTATGTGTGTACGCTGTGCAAGTTTGTTTTATTGTTTGGATTTTTCCCCTACTTCCCCCCTATGGGGGTTTTCCCGATTTTCCATTCATATAATCGCCTATATCTCGAAGACTATAAGACCTAGGGACACCAAATTTTAGTATTTGGTATCGGTATTTGAACTCACGAAAAGGGTGTATAATTGCACATTTATAAAGAAATTGCGTATATGTGAGTGTATGTAGTACGTCTATGCGCGTCTATACGTGGCTGTGTGAGCATGTTTGCAGTCAACCAAAGCACGAGCATCAACAACAGCTGCGGGCAGCGCTTGGTCAGCAAATATATTTATAGCTATTACTTCTTGTTAAATTGGTCTATCAAAAACTTCTATCAAACTATTTTAGTTCGAAATTCCAAGAATTACGGGAGTTATGTGAGAAACACGAATAGCGGGAGAGTAGAGGTGTATCAGAATAAAAAAATAAACTTGACCTGCCTAGGACTTAGGGGAACCTCGATACCAAGTTTGGTTATTCTATGATAGGTCAATTCTGAAGAAAGTTATAGCCATAAATGAAATCGCTGTCCATGCTCTGATTGTAGCTCTGCCAGCAGCTGTTGTTGTTGTTGCTGCTTTGGTTCAACTTTGTGCTGCATACATACTCGCATAGCAATACACAGAGATACGATTCTGATGTAAATGTCTGCTGTTGAAACTGTACATGAACATGTCTCCGAACAAATCGCCGAACAAATTAGTAGTGAACTGAAACAACCAATATCGAAATACGGATTTGACTTAGAAACTTCGGTGAAAATTCGTTGGAGAAGAAATGCTGAATGATTTTTTCTAGGTATCATCCAATCGGATGTTCAAGCTCACAGGAGACTATAGCTGATTACGAAAAAAAACTTATTTTATTCATTTTAGTTTTTTAAGTGCGATATGAATTTTAATCTTTTCATAATGAATACAATATAGTTACATTTAGTTAAGGACTAAAGCTAGAGTAACCTATTTACGAAATTAACAAGTATTTTGTGTAACGGTTTCCATTGTGCTACGGCCACGCCGGGATGCCTGAATATCTAGGCGACCAACTCGGCAACTCGCACTCGACTAATTTAATGACTATTGTTCACTGACTCGGCTTGATGTAACGGGAAAGCAAAGACGTAGACGATGAAATAACTGAAGAGTACTTGTAATACTTATTAAGTTAACACCTATGGAAATACTTATATACATAACATTTGTATGCAAAGTACCAGTATGTGTGTAAAGAGTGTAAAAGTAGAAAGATTCTTATTTAGTTTAATTGCTAATTATCACACAGAAAACTTAATGCGTACGCGTATGTACTTGCACTGATTCGATTGCATTGACTTGACTCGTTGGCTGCTGGAGGGGGACGCATTCAACCATAGCCCAGCAGGTATTTGGGCAAATAGGTTATCGAGGAGAGCAAACTGTAGCTGCAAGTGGTTAATAGTTGAAGAAAAAAGAGTTCCATTGAAATGTGTGCACATTTATTGTCATCAGGATTAGTTTAGACCTCGTTACCACAAACTTGTTAACAGCGTATTTACAAATAAGCATTTATTGAAACTCAGCCAAAGGCATAGATAACATCTATCGGCTCCCAAGTCGTCGTCTCTTCTGCGCTGGGTTCTTTATCAGTCTCTGCCCTGTTTTTAGTCAAACCAACACCGTGCAGAAAGTAAAAATATGTATTTATTATTATTATTAAGTGCATAACTTTCGGCGCAAGCTAATGAACACTAAACAAAAATGGCAGCAACGTTTTTGAGCGTTTCATGAGTTACCAACAATACCGACAACACAAACAGAAAAGTGAATAAAACTACGTTAGCAGTACATACGAATTGCTCAGTCCACGATAGAACCATGACTTCCAAGACTTTGAAGAGCCCTCGTCTATCTTGGATTCCACATCTGCGCAAAAATGCTTGCGATCATGGGAACGGCCGCTCTTGCAATCGCAAAGCAGACGTTTCTTGCATTCCGCATCACAGGTTGGCCGTGCCGGTGAGTTTTTCCAGTAATTTCTAACATAAATGTAACGTAGAGATAGGCGGAACAAGTAAAGTTTTATAATTGCCAACCCACTTGTAATACAGATCGAAAAGCTCCTGGTTGTTGGTCAGCTCGTTTATCAGATCATCCCAATCTGCGGGTCGCAAAGCTTTCATGTTGTAAGCGGCCCTCGCTGAATAAAGCTTGTACCATATGGGATAATCATAGAGATTGGCCTCCTTGAGATTCATAATCCAAGATTCATGGTCGATCACCAATCGAGTCGTGGTATCATGATCGCCGTCCACATAGTAAATGCGATACCCAGGGTTCAGATCATAATATGGGGATACGGAGGGTCCAATATATGCAATGCTGTTGGCGTGCGCTAAAATAGTACCAAGATCCATGGACCATAAATATTGCATTAAATGGATAGACAGACCTAAAGGTAAAACTCACTCAGATCATGTGGATCGTAAAACATTTCAAACTCATCGTAGTGCGTATGGCCATAGAACTGCGCTGTTATAGTGTTTTCATAGCGAGAAATGATTCTGTAAAAGTTGCGCGACCACACCTTGAGGCAATCCGAGTGCCCTGGAGGAATATGGCCGATGACGTGCACCTTTTCATTGGAGAATTCGGCACTTTGTAATTCGTATATGAACCTTAAAAGAGAATAAGAAATTATAATTTATTATAAACAAGTATTTCACATTTTTGTGTGTTTTATTTAATTCATAAAACACATTTTAAAATTTGTATGTGTCCTTCTGGATTTCTTGCGATACGTTCAAAGGCTTCCTTATTATCTATATGTATGTGTATACATATGTATATAAAACAGTGTGTCCTCACTGACTGATTGGTGATCAACGCACAGCCCAAACGATACGATGTAGGAAGCTGAAATTTGGATTCATATCCATTCATAGTGTAGATGCGCGATAAGAAGCGGTTTTGGAAAATTCAAACGTCAAAGAGGGCAAAACGGGCTCCAACGTTTCTCCAAATACTATAATTTTCATCTGATTAACTTTAAACTTAGTTTATATGCTCCCAGAAAGTAACTGTATACTTGGTTTCCACAATTTTTCCTGGAGCATAACAAAGTTGGAACACAATCAACATCACACACCCCAAACGGTAAGAGCTAGGATGCTAAAATTTGGATACATGATTCATTTTAAATTCTACATGAGCAACCAAGAAGCGGGTTTGGAAAATTCGAGCTCAAATTTCGTTTTAAAAACCGTCATTTTTTAACCGATCAAGATGGGTTCGTATAATCTATGAAAGATAAAAAGAAACCGCAAACACGGTTTTTTGAAATTTGTCTTGAAGCTTGAATTAATGGTCTTGTAATATTTCTTCAATTTTTTTCAAATGAAAAGTTTGTGTTATAAATTTTGTCTGATCGACCAAATTTGGGGTACATAATCAACATACATAACTAGATCTACAACTTGGTATTTGACGTTTTTCAAAATATAGGAAAAAGTCTTTACGAATGCAGCAACAATAAATAAGAGACAACGCAAAATATCAAACAGTTGGGGACATCACATACGCACACTCACAGTATTAGAGATTGGCATAGTCGGTGCTTTTTGTTCGTGGCACACTGCTGCACTGCGTTGACACGAGTGGCGTGTTTCATATTCCGATTTCGTGCATGGTCGTGATTGACTTAATAAGGAACGAAAATACACGAACGTGTTATAACAAGATAGAACGCTACAGTCGAGCAAGCCCGACAGTAAAATAGCCTGTACTCTCCACAAAAAAGAAAAATTAAAAAAAAAAAAATATTAAAAATAATTAAATTAATTTATTAAATTAATTAAGAAAATTTATTTAATATATACATAGAAGACATGTTTATGTACAGTTTTACATTTACATCACGTGTCTATTTGTATGTATACAAGGACGTACTCAGGGGGGGGGGGGGGGCAGGGGGGGCCGTTGTCCCCCTAGAAAAAATTGTTCCATATAAAGTCGACCACACGTTCATTATTATGACGCACTATTTCGCCTTCAGATGGATCTGCGTTGGATTTATTGAAGTTTTTTCATCGATCATATGCATAAATTATTTTTTAAATGCATCGGGCATTATTTAATCAAAATTTTAATTTTTTGGTCATGATGAAATTTGGCATACGGATACATAAGCACTAACTGGACGTAACTACTAAAACTGATTTCAAAATACCAGGAACTACGGGAGTTATAAAAAAAACTGCCTAGGGCTTATGGGAACCTGGATACCAAGTTTGGTAGTTCTAGATCTTGTACCTTCTGAGATCCTTACGCTCATTCAGACGGACAGACGGACAGACGGACATGGCTAAATCGACTCGGATTGTCACCCTGATCAAGAATATATACTTTGTGGGGTCTGCCACGCCTCCTTCTGTGTGTTACATACATTCGCACAAAACTAGTATAGCCCTTCACCCTTTGGGTGCAGGCTATAAAAATAAAAGAAACACGACCAAAATATATTTTAACATTAGGAAATACTCTATTAATTATTTCAGTTTTTATACTCTGTACATGAAATGTATAGAAGTATATTAGGTTTGCGGGAGCTGATAAATGTAACAGACAGAAGGAGGCGTGGCAGACCCCACAAAGTATATATACGAGTTTGTTTCATTTTTTTGATTTCCCCCCCCCCCCCCCCCCCCACTTCCCCCCTGGGGGTTTTCCTGATTTTCCATTCGTATAATCGCCTATATCTCGGAGACTATAAGACCTAGGAACACCAAATTTTAGTCCAAGATGCCTTATGTGAATACGCAGAAAATGTATATTTTGGAATTTCCCTCCCTCCCACCTCTAGGTAAGTAGGTAGATAGCGCCTGCATAAAATAATTAAATGTGTGTGTGCATGGTCATTTAAATGTTGTGCATAATAATGCATAAGTTGATCGAATATCTTTGGCAAATTATGCAGCTTTTAATTCTAGAAATAACTTGCCCTGAACATCGCTATCATAATTCAAAAATATACATATATGTATATGTGCATATGTATGTGTTATGTATAGGTAGATAGTATATGTATGTACATATGTACATACATATATTGCACTAAATGTCTGCCCTAGCTCTCGGAAAGTACCACAGAGATTTGCTATTTGGTAGTTCCTGTCGGGCTTGCTCGACTGTAGCGTTCGCTCTTGCTTACATTTTAGCTTTAATGTCCTATATGTATTTATGTACTTTGTCCTACTCTTCTACAAAGATAAATCCCCAGTCACGGCAACCCCAATCCCTAGTCCTCTGTTCTTACTCACCATTGCAGCTCCGTTGCGGGATCTGTAGAGTTAAGGAGTAACCACCAGTTCTTGTTATTACAATAGTTCATGTTCAGAGATATAATTCGAAATCCGGGTCGAACCAGAACCGAATAGAAGGCTCCGCGGCGAACGGTGTGCGATACACTTTGCGGCAGCCAGCGACGCCACTGCACGTCCAGCTCATCGTATAGCCAATTGATGGATATGTCCACCTGATTGACATAGGGAGGCGGAAAGCTGTTGACCGGCGCGCTTTCGTGATTGCCCAGTGCAGGAAAAATGGGTACGCCCGGGAACATCTCCGTCATTTGTCTCACAGTCTCCTTGATGATTTCCAGATTTTCCTCTTTCGTCTGGTTCCAAACATCGTGCGGTGGCAAGTCTCCGGTCCACAATATATAGTCAATATCTTTGTGGGTGTCTGCGATGTGGGACAACATGTTGTCCACCGTGCGCTTGGGCGTGTCACACTTACGGTAGTCCCCCCATTTTCCCGCCGCCGCATTAGGGTTGGCCGGCCTACCGCTGCTCAAGCGACAGCACAGGGGCTCGTTGCAATCGGCATTGGAGCCCTCCACATAGTGGGGGTCGTAGTGCGTGTCCGAGATGTGCAGCACTTTGAAGAATGGTGCCGCCTCTTTAGGTATAGGCAGCTCGGCTAATACAGGGGGCTTGGGAACTGGTGGAAATACGACCTCCCACTCATGGTACGGGTTGTACACGTCACCACAGCCATCGCCTATGACGAAGCTGCAAATTTCATCGGGGCCCAAGTTGACACGCTGGAGCACGTAAATGACCTCGCTGCCAAACAGATGTGAGACGCCCTCGCAAACCCTTGGGCTCTGAATAGAATTGTAAAATAAATGCCAGTTTAATATATATTGGAAGAAATGTTTTGTCTAATTCTGACCTGTATGTTGAGATTGACGCAGAATTGGTAGATCATCTTCATGATCTCGGCCTCCGTTTTTCCCGCCTTGATGTAGTGCTGGAGCAAACCCGCCCCCGCCTTGCAGGCAGTGCACGATACCTTCGACATAACGCTGTTCTCTATCTCAAAAGCAACCTGCTTCAGATTGAATAGCTTCAGTGCCTTATCCACGAAGGGTGGATATACTAGACCATCGCCCACTGATGTGTCATACCAGAGCATGCGTGGTGAAGTACGATTGCGTTTCATTTGCCGAAGTCGCTCCAAAAACTCGTCATCGCTCTCTGAGGGCTCACTGTTTGTCCGATTGGCAAAAGTCTTGAGCTCTATGTGGGGACTTATGCTGCGGGGCTGGGCTTCTACAATCCACTCATCGACTGGCTGAGTCCAATTCAATGGGGGACGTGCATTTGTGTAGAGAAAGGGCAGCGCTATAGTTGGCAAAACAATAACTACATGTATAGTACCCGAATTCAGTTCAGAATTTTTAACATTTTCCGCACTCACCATGAGCAACACCGAGCACACCAAGTGCCACGATGAGGCAGCAGATTAGTCGACTGCGACACAACTGCTGTGTCATAATTGAGGCCCCAGGTGCTTCCTCTGCTCCGCTTTGTTTATTCCCTCAATTTCTCTGTGTTTCACGGCACGCACAGGTATTCCCAGTTGCCACTTGACCTACATTTTTGGGTTATAAAAAAAAGTGAAAAATCATTATTGTTGTAAACTCGTTTCGACTTGTTGCCACCTTCTTGCCCTTCATTAAATATTTTTCACTCCTTTAGCTGTATTTTTGTTTTACTTTCTTTACATATCTCCATTTTATGACACAACTGCTTGCCATGCATGTTTATAAATAAATTCCCACAATAATTTATAGAATTTAATTGCAATTTTTACACTTGCATGACTCGTATCTATAATTCGGAATCTCCGCTGTCGTCAATTAATCAATATACAAAACCTTCCCTTGACGAGGCAACAAACTTAGTGGCGAAAGTAAAACTGCTGGGGCCTGGTAAGAATTCCACAATATGAGTTTGTTCCAGAGTCGACTCCGGTTCGAATTACGGCGCTACCATCATCATCGAACTTACAAATATAATACTTAAATTCTTTAAGCGTGGGTCTCTCCTTTATAAGAAACGTAAAACTGACGCATTATGGACAATGGTGGAAGCCGATTCACAACACAATAATTAAAACAAAAAAACAAAACTACTCATATAAAATTACAGAAACTTCTGATATCTAAAAGAATCAGTCTGTGTTGCTCATTTCCTATGATACAGCAGTTGGATTACAATGTTTTAAATATAACTAGACTGGAATGCTGGAGTCGAGTGGGCTCTCTCAACTTAAATACCTTATTCCGACTCCCACAAAAACAAACAAGTGGAGAAGCTAAATATCTTTATCTTTTTATACTCTGTACATGAAATGTACAAGGGTAAATTAGGTTTTTCGATGTCGAGGATATCGAAATATATGAAAATATAAAGCATTCTTGCTTGACTCTTTGTACTATCAGGAAGATTTTAAATAGCAAGGGTCAATGAAAAATATCTCTCTTTAGGAAATATGATCAAAACAGAAGTGTGATATAAATATCCAAATGAGAAACTTTACATTTTCGCGACTTTGGAATAAAATATCTCGAAACGGGTTGTTCATAAATTTAAAATTTATTTAAATTGTTTGATTATTTCTCTGTAAAAATATGATAAGCAAAGTGAATTCAATAACTTTTAAATTTTGGTCTCGATGTACCTTCCGGTGGAAATGCCCATATGTACATGACAAGTGTATGTGTGCAGTACAGAAAAATAGATGTAAATCGAAGAAAAAACATCGATGTCTTTATACAAAAACTTAAAGTATTAAATACAGCTTTAACAAGTGGAGAAGCTAAGGGCGGGTGTCCCGACCTTGAAATACTCTGCACAGTTGTTTGCATGTGTAGAATAATTATAGAAATTGAAAAAACATTTTTTTGATCGATTCCTCCCTTGGTATTCGAATTCACGTAAAGGGTGTATAATTGCACATTTACATAGGAATTGTATCTATGTGAGTGTACTATATGCATGTCTATGTTATAGTCTCTGAGATCCAGGTGTTCATACAGACGGAAGGACGGACAAACAGACAGAGCTAGATCGACTCGTCTTGTCATGCTGATCAAGAAAATATATGCTTTGTGGGGTGTGCCTGCCACCTTCTTCCTGTTACATATTTTACTTCCCGCAAGCCTAATATACGGAGTGTAAAAATATGATTATAAGTTGTAAAATTATTATTTAAAAAAAAAGTTCATTTAAATAATATAAAAATAAATAACACGTACTTAGAGTCGTAAAATACATTTACATACAATATTGTCTTTACGTCTCTGCACACAGAGTCCAGACGGACATTTCTTTATCTACTCGTCTGGTCATGCTGATCAAGTATATACATATGTATACTAGCAGGTCTTGCCCGTCTTTGCTGGGCTAAGTAAAATGTGCTTATAATTAAAAGTTTATTTACTATATGATATTCTTCTTTCGACGCTCTCTAAAGGTTTTTAAAGAGTTCATTTTCCAATATAGCCAATATAGTACAATAAGTACTATTTATGGTTATACGTACATACATACATATGTACATATCTTCGTTCCGCACCGGGCGGACTGCCAGTCCTGACTTAACTCTGTGCTTCCTCAGCACGTTGTACGCACGGTCGAGTTATCCCCGAAAAGTCCGACGCGGGACATTCAATTTTGATTTATAAATCGGGACGTCCCGCCAAAATTGGAGCGTTCGGCAACGCTGATATGTACATACATTTAAATTTTTCATGCAGGTGTTATCCGCCTATATACATACATACATAAGTCGCTGTAAATATGCGATCAGCTGAGATGGGCATATGTCGGATGCTCTATGTGCTAGAGCATCAAAACTATCGATAGTTGAATCCGTCGATACAATCAATAATTCCATCGAAGTTTGAATGCAATTAACAGAAAATTTAAATAATAACATCTTATAATTTATTGAGATCAATTAGAACAAATCATATACAAACATACATATGTACATCTGCCCGCAACGCGGTTTCTGCTTTACTATCGCTTACGCAGTCGTTGCCTAGCGACGGTAACTGTAAACTTTTGGCATTTTGCCTTTGAAATTAACAGGCGTAAATGATCAAAACGAAAGAAGAAGCGCGAGCCAATGAGTTGCAGTTGTTGTTGTTTTTCGTTTTAAAAATTTTATTTAAAACCATAGAACATTATTTATTACAATCAAACAACAGTGTTCGATTGTCCAATGTAAAATTTACATACGAATGTACATACATGCTATATATGTACGTACACAGGCATACATACATACATATGTATGTATGTACATATGCATGCATGTTTCTCTTTACTTTTTCAACCGTACGTAGAGAACCGCACACATAGACACGAACTGTTGCTTGTTCTGTGTGTGAGTGTGTTTATATGATGTCCCCAACTATTTGATATTTGCGTTCTTTGTAATTTGTTGTTGCTGCATAAAGTTACTAATGAAAACCTTAATGCCAAATGTACTAAACAAAGAAAAAATTACTTTTAAAAATGTAAAAAAATTTTTAATTAATTCACATTTCTTGCTCTGTCGGTGCAAGACGAATGAACATACATACATACATAGATGTGTACATATGTATGTATGTGTGTACATTCACACATTAGTGTCTCACATTTTACTTTGGCTACTTCAATCGTTTGCACGCAACTACACAAACAGCTGCTTGTATGTGTGTGTGTGTGTGTGTGTGTGTATGTATACTTAGTTGTCCCCAACTGTTTGATATTTTGTATTGTTTGTTCTGCCTGCATTTGTAAAATGCATATTTTGAAAATCCTTGAAAGCAATGTTGTAGATTTAGCTACGTAGATTACAGTCCCCGAATTTGAAATCGATCGGAAAAAATTTATAACACAAACTTTTCATTTAATATTAAAACCCCAATAATTCAAGATCCACCACAAATCCGAGTATGCAGTTTTGTTTGTATTCTTTTATAAATTATAAAAGTCAAATTTAAAGTTGATTGGTGGAAAACTGAAGATTTTTCAAACAATTTTTGGAGCTCGTTTTCCCCCCATTGGAGCTCGAATCCCTTCTTAGTGCGCACCTACACTATGATAGGATACTTGAGCCCAAATTTCAGCTTTCTAGCTCTTACCGTTTGGGCTGTGGGCTGTCGACGCGGTTTCCTCTTGTGCCCCAAAAAAGCCCCAATAATTCAGTCTCCAACAAAATATTCAAAAAACCAAGTATGCAACTTTCTTTGTATTCTTTTATTGATTTTAGAAGTCGATCGGTTGAAAAATGAGGATTTTTCAAACAACTTTGAAGCTAGTTTTCCCCCCATTGGAGCTCGAATTTTCCAAAATCCCTTCTTATCGCCAGCCTACACTATGAAAGGATACTTGAGTCCAAATTTTAGCTTCCTAAATTTCACCGTTTGGGCTGTGCGTTGATCACCAATCAGTCAGTCAGGACAAACTGTTTTATATATATAGATATATATATGTACATACATTGTGTCTGGGTCTGCCACGCCTCCTTCTGCCGGTTAAATTTTTCACTTTCAACAAACCTAATAACCTTGTATATTGCATGCAAAGGGTATATTAAGCTGCAATACAAGTATTAGCGTAGTGTTAGGCAGCTATGTGCTGGTGGTTTCGCCACTACTATTACGGTGAAAAAAAGGCGTCTGTGCAGGTTCTTATCAGAACATGTTTGTATGTAAAAAATCTGAATTTTTTTTTGAAATATTGCAGTTTTCAAAATTATACTAATTAATAAATTGGAATATCTGTTTATGTGACATGCGTTTGGACAGATTGGGAAACAGGTTGACATATTTCTGATTCATAATCTCAAGTGAATGGAAATTTACCACTTTTGTAATCTCTCTGCTGACTCTTATGGCGACCAGCTGACTTAAAATAGTTTAACTTTAACCGCAAACAATAAATGTTTATTAATTTCCTTACTGCTCCTTGCTGCTAAAAAAAACTCTGATCAGTGAAAATATTTGACTATGTCTATGACTTAAATATCAATTTGTTTATTTTTGGTGCCTTTAACTAACGTTAAAAGTGAAGAAAGACGTATCGAATAAAATTTAAACAATTCGAAATACTGACCCATTGGATTACGTTTGACTTTGGTAACTACAACACAATTAATTATGTAAGTGTGGACACCTCATAGAAGTAGTTAAATTAAATTACTAATGATATCATTTTTAACAGCGAGGGGTATCAGAAAAAAAAGTGGTAAAATTTTTTGCAAATTAATCGAAATGCCATTGTTTTAAGCTTTCAAGTTAGTTATTTTTGGACCCTAAACCTGATGATTTTTACAACACGCTGGATTAAAATCCAATTTATTTAAGCGATGTATCGTCTATGCATTATAGGTCAAATAGTTATATTCTTGAGCAGTATGACAAGACGAGTCGATATCGAAACTTTCTGTTCATCCGTTGCCGTTGTTTATATACTTTTTGAGGTCTGTGACGCCTCCTTCTCGCACTTAACTTGTATACGCTTTTGGTACAGGGCCCCAAAAAGTTTTGAACATAATTTAACAATAATACTGTTGTGCCGGCCCTTTTATAA